TTCATCATGTATTAAAGGACCACTTTGTTATGATCATGTAGACTACACAACACATGGTTTCCCTTAGACCTGGGAACAAAATTGTTATGAAATTTGGCTACATAGAATAACAGATCAAATATGACTAAGTTATCACTGTGGCAGTTATTGGCCAAGGGAAAAAATTATACTGCTTCACTAATTTTAAATTCTGGATCTATTTGTACTTTTTGCTTGTATCTCTGTTATATTTAATAAATATGCAGCACTCAGTATCACTCAAACATGTAAATCCCCAAGAGAACACAGATATAATTACTTATTCTCTTTTACTCAGAATGTAGGCTAGATGAGTTTAGCCTTGGGACAAATTCAGGTAGTAAATAAAAGCCAGGCCTAAGGACAATGATTTCAAGATAGTGTCATTAAACAACATGGATATCTTCACAGGTGCACATCAGAAAGGAAGAAAATCTAATCTACAAGGAAATATTGAGTCTGGTAAGCTATCTCATCTCCCTGATTCTCTTCTCTAAGACAATTCTGAAAATATATCTGTGCATCTGTTCTACCAACATCCACTAGGATTGGGAATGAGAATTATTTCTTTGCTTTGTTACATTTTAGAAAATAATGCATGGGATTCACAACATCTCCTATTCCATCTAGATTCTGTGGATTATCATCAGTTCACACACAAGAAAGAAGCATGGCCTCAGAAATGTGCTTAAGTCTGCATTAGCTCATATTTACCTGATGTACCATAGGAGCAGCATCCAGCTGCTCTTCTTCACAGCCCTCTATCATCTAATAGGATAGTGTCTTCTTACATCAGATATGCTTAGCATGTAGAGGGAGATGTAAAAGGGGATACCAATCTAGTGAGAAATAACATTACACTTGGGTATTGCAGAAATAAAATGAAAAGGAACATGAGAAATGTAAATACATTAATGAACTCCTGGAATGTCCTTCTTACCACATCAGAGTACACCACACAGAATCTGCTGCCTTATCTAAGCATGAATATATGCATATTGCTTGCAGAAGTACAAATGTTGAGAATATTGTAGAGTTTTATAGCATATAAACTTTTTTTGAAGAACACTAACCCCACAAGAGAATGAATATATTTTTAAAATCTTTTTATTTATATATATATGGGTGTTTTGCCTACATAATACTGTGTATTGTATGTATGGAAGAAGAATACATCAGATCCTCCTGGAAGTTACAGACAATTACAGTTACAGACAACTGTGAGCCATCATGTGGGGATTGGAGACTGAACCCGGGTTCTCTGCAAAAGAAGTCAGTATTATTAAACCTAAAACCAATATTAGCATTTTCTAGAAGAATTCCAACCATATTGACAGTAAGAATTCTAAAGACGTTTTCATGGAAATTTCTATGTTGTGCTCCTGGGACGAAGACATAAAGAGTGAGATAGCTGTTACATTCCTGACAAAGAGCCAGTCCTTTAATATGCCATTTGTGTCTATATATCCATGGTTACTCAGTAGGTGAATATCAACATAGACAAGGCATTTTAAAGAAAAATGTTTAAAACACACATACAGGGAGAGAGAATAAATATCTATTACACAGAGTTCAGCTGAAGAGTAAAAACCCATAACTTTGAACACAATATTGCTTAAATGTATACTATAAAGAATAAAGAAAAGAAATAATGCTGTGGATATCGCTCTGTATAAACAAAATGCTGATTGGCCAGTAGCCAGGCAGGAAGTATAGGCTAGGCAGGACAAGCAGAGAAGAGAATTCTAGGAACAGGAAGGCTGAGTGAGGAGACGCTGCCAGTTAGTACCAACATGTAAGATACTGGTAAGCCACAAGCCATGTGACAAGGTATAGATTTATAGAAATGGGTTAATTTAAGATATAAGAACAGCTAGCTAGAAGCCTGAGCCATTAGGCCAAACAATTTAAGTAATATAAGTCTCTGTGTGTTTACCTGGTTGGGTCTGAGTGGCTATGGGACTGGTGGGTAAGAGAGATTTGTCCTGACCGTGGGCCAGGCAGGACCAGGAAAACTCTAGCTACAAAATAATAAAAATTTATCAACATACTAAAATGTTAAAACACTTAAGGGTTTTCTGTGTATAATTTTCTTAACATCTTCAAAACACACTATTGAATTACTTATCCTACTTTTATAGGTAAAGAAATGAAATAGAAAAATGTTTGGGACAGGGTTATAATGTCAACATGCACTGAAGAGAGATTTGACTGGGTCTGGCTAATTTAAAAAAACAAAAACAGAAAAAAAAACCCCAAAAAACTGTGCTATTAAATCTCTTAAATGTAGATTAGTGTTAATAAAGTGATGTAACAATTTCACAATTATTTGAATAAGCCTTATTTTTAAAATGTTAAAGTTTTATTGGTCAAACATTTCATGAAAATTTACATACTCATCTTTTTTTAATTATTTTTTTCCATTTATTTTATATACCAACCACAGTTTTCCCTTCCTCCTCTCCTCTTGTTTCCCCCTCTCCAGCCTCCCATCTACCGCCCTCCCCATCCATTCGTCCTCTGTCTCCATTCAGAAAGAGGCAAAGCCTCCCATGGGCATGAACCGAGCATGACACTCAAGTTGATGCAAAACCAAGCTCCTCCCCCTGCATCAAGTCTGGGCTAGGCAATGAGCATGGGGAAGAGGTTCCAAAAGCCGGCTGAGCACCAAAAACAGGTTCTGATTTCACTGCTAGGAGCGTCACAGACAGATCAAGCTTACACAACAGCCACACACATGCAGAGGGTCTAGGTCGGTCCATGCAGGCTCCCTAACTGTTGGCCTGGAGTCCATGAGCTCCCAGGAGCTCAAGTCAGCTGTCTCTGTGGGTTCCCCAGTCATGACCTTGATCCCCCTGGCTCATACACTCCCTCCTCCCTTTCTTCAACAGGACTCCCTGAGCTTGGCCCAGTGCTTGACTGAGGATCTTCGAATCTGCTTCCATCAGTTACTGGATAAAGGCTTTGTGATGACAATTAGGGTATTCACCAATATGATTACAGTAGATGGCCAGTTCAGACACTCTCTCTACTATTACTAGGATTCTTATCTCAGATCATCCTTGTGGATTTCTGGGAGTTTCCCTGGCACCAAACAGGTTTCTCCCTAATCCCAAAGTGCCCCCCCCACCAAGACATCTCTTTCATTACTCTTCCCCTATGTTCCACCCCCAACCCCACTCCGATGCCCAGTCAGCCCAATCTGAAATTCGTTTCTCAAGCACTCAACATCCCTACCTTGACTATTGTTGTCATAAATTATTCTACAAAGTACAAAATTGTATTTTGAAAACATTGTAAATTTCACACTGATGAGAAAATAAGTTAAAGGGGGACTCAGATTATTCATCCTTTACAAGGACCACAAACATGTTTGGTACAATATTGAAGTATTTTCCTCAGAAAACTGGTGAACCTTTCTTTAATAGAAAACAGATTTCTTTTCAAATTATCTAATATGCATCTTTTCTATAACAAGTGTTTCACCTCATTTTCTTCCTTTGCTCCTCAGTAAAGGAGAAGGTAAAGCATGATGGTGGGAGGCTTCTCTGTGGTCAACTTCACCACTTCCATCCTAGGGATTTCAAAGGATACATATGTAAGAATTGAGTACATGATGACTGGAATGTGAACTTATGTTCATACTTAATATAAATTAAAATGTATTAGGGAATTTATTTGTCAACTAGACTCACTAGAAAAATGTCAATGCAGGTAAATGCAGAAATGGATTAGCCAAACAGGAGGACAATTCAGATTCAAATTTATGAAGGAAGAGAGAACATTTACAAATTTTCTCTCCCATGCAGTTTGATTATTGTCAATATTACCTGTCAGTATGGACACTGTTATCTTTGGATGTACATAATTAGTTCTCACTGGATGTTTGACTTCACACTAATACAAGACTAACAGTCAAAGACCCACTTTATTTACATGTATATGTAATATATTCTCATCTTTCAAGTAACACAAGTGATCAGATAATACAAACTGAAGATAGATAGATGATAATGATGATAGATGATAATAATGAAGACAGACATACAGACATACAAACAGATAGATAGTAGATGAATACATTGTTTATAATAAAAGGCACTAGTACGGCACAGTTCAGTGATTCATTACTATTTATTGATATGATTTTAAATAAATACTTTCTAATTATAGGCTTTAACCATATGTAAAGTTCAAGGTAGAATCTGGATTGTCCTCCACTTTGGCTAATCCATTTCCACATTCACCCGTAATGACATTTTTGCTAATGAGTCTAGTTTACCAAATAAATTCCCCAATGCATTTTAATTTATGTTAAGTATAAACATGATGTTCACATCCCAATCATCATGTACTCAAGCATCAAATGTTCTATAGGTTCTCACATAATGATTATCATAACATTTCCTTCGGAGGAGTAAGGTAAAAATTTAATATTATGAAGTACTATAGGAAAAATTTCATTATGTATTAAAAGAATCACTATCTGTAGTGATTAAAAAAAAGTAAGACTCTAGAACTTCCTGTGCACTGAAATTCAGTGTAATTCATCACTATTTCCCTGAGACTATGAGTTAATTTTTATAGAGTAGTGGGATGACTGTTGACTCCACATTCAGATTTTGTTTAAACTGAGCTAGTGGGTAAAATCTCCCTCAAAGGGAAAATATAATTATGTGTAGCCTCTTAGCTTGCTGACCTGTGTTCCTCACTCCTGACATACAGAGAAAATTTCTGAAACATTGTTCATTTAAGTTTACTCTATGCTCTGCTTTTACTAAAGTTAATCATGGCTCATGAGCTTTTACTTTGGATAGCAATGTCATTCAAATTCTTCTTTTTACATTTATTTGATTTCTCTTTACATGTATTTGATGTATAGATGTTAAATCCCAGTGTGACTGTCAAATTCAACAATCTAGTCCTTCTTCCACATCCCTCTGATAATCTTTCCTTTTCTGCAGGTTGTTTCTGAGAATAAAATGGATGGAGGTAATCAGTCCTTCATATCAGAATTTGTGCTTTGGGGACTTACCCAATCACAGAATCTTCAGGTTTTACTCTTTGTGATATTTTTGATACTTTATCTGCTCATTGTGCTGGGAAATATTACCATCATGATCTTAATAACCACTGATCACCATCTCCACTCTCCCATGTACTTCTTACTGGCCAACCTGTCCTTTGTTGATATATGGCTTTCCTCAGTCACCACACCTAAAATGATCACAGACTTTCTCAGGAAGCACAAAACCATTTCCTTTGCAGGCTGCATGTCCCAGGTCTTCTTTGCCCATTGCATTGCTGCAGGAGAGATGATACTGTTGCTGGTAATGGCTTATGACCGCTATGTGGCCATCTGCAAACCACTCCACTACTTCACCATTATGAACCTGAAAAGATGCACTAAGTTGGTGTTGACTTCCTGGACCATTGGCTTTGTGCATGCCATGAGTCAGCTTGTGGCAGTTCTACAGTTGCCTCTCTGTGGTTCCTTGGAAATTGACAGCTTCTTCTGTGACATGCCACTCGTAATCAAGTTATCCTGCACAGATTCCCATAATTTGGATATTTTAATGAATGCTGATTGTGGGGTTGTGGTTGTAACCTGCTTCATTCTGTTGCTCATTTCCTACACATATATCCTTATCACTGTTCGCCAGAGCTCTAAAGCTGGTGCATCTAAGGCCCTGTCTACATGCACTGCCCACATCACAGTGGTGATGCTCCTTTTTTTGCCCTGCATCTTTATCTATGTGTGGCCCCTCAGTATCACCTGGTTGGACAAATTTCTTGCTGTGTTTTACTCTGTTGTTACACCTCTCCTAAATCCAGCCATTTATACACTAAGAAACAAAGAAATAAAAAATGCTCTGAAGAGATTAAAAAACTATTTCAAGAATCACAAGGTAAATACTTAAAACCCAGAAAATTCACTATAAATATTTTTAATTGACATTTCAATAAAATTCAGAGAGGTTACAAATTTCGGTATTTATATGTACAATTAATTTCAGTATTTTGATATGTAATAGGCCTAATACAATTCTAGATAAGGAACATTTTAATTATATAGAACACTAAATTATTTCTGAAAAATTTTAAAAACTGATCCTTCATCCTGAGAAAATTAGTGAATTGGCTCTTATATATCTTTAGTAATATGAAGAACCTAAATGTATTTGTCAAACTCATACTACCATTTTTGTAAAAGTCACCTAAATAATGCTCTAACAACATGAAAAAATTATTCTTTACCTTACCATACCCCACAAACATTTTATTCATCCATTTGTAAAAAGTCAACATCACAACCTTTACATTATTCCAGCTTTCTCCAAAAGCACTAAAGGGGGAATAAGAAAATTGTGGAAGGATAAAACAAAAATTATAAACTGCACAAGATATATAAGTGGACATTATTTGGTGTTGATTTTATTACCTTAATAAAAATGAAATGGTAGTATAAAAATATAATGTTTTCTCAATTATCTGAGATTTAATAACTAAAGTTGTCCCTTAAATTATTGTTTATTATTTCAATAAAATCATGAACTATGGTTTTTCCACATACACATTAGTACTAATATATATATATATATATATATATATATATATATATATATATATTAGTACTAATATATATATATATAGCCTTGTTTCTCTGTGTCTTCTATCCCAACTGGCTCCCACACTCTTTATGCCTCCTTTTCTCCATACTTCCCTGAGCCATGAAGGGAGAGATTAGATGGAGACATCCCATTTAGGATTGAGTGTTCCAAGGTTTCACATTGTTCACTTGTGGGCCTCAGTATTAGTTCCAATCTGCTGAAGAAAGAAGATTTTCTGATGAACAAGACACTGATAGCTGAGCAAGACACTGATCTGTGAATATAGCATTTCATTAGGAGTCATTTTATCACTATATTCTTTTAGTAGAATTGTAGCTGGAGAGCTTTTCTCTGGGCCCCGCCAAGCCCCCACAGTCCCGCAGCCCACTTATAAAATAAACACACAGACGCTTATATTATTTAAACTGTTTGGCCTAATGGTTCAGGCTTCTAGCTAGCTGTTCTTATATCTTAGAATGGTAGTATTTTGGTTTTCTCCTAGATCTTTGGTCTGTCTAGTCTTAGGTTCTTGGCTACATTATCAGTGTCAAGCAAGAGTTCTACTTTAAAAAAAATGATAAATACATGTTATAAAAATATACATAAAGAGAAACTTCAGCAATTACTTTAATATTGCAAAGTAAGTTTCAGATGGAAGAATATTACTAGAGAGAATAAAAGACCATTTCACATAGAAAAAGTAGGTCAATTAACTATAATACAGCAATTTCTAAACTACATATTTCAGCATGTTCTAAACCACAAAGTTTTAAATATGTGAATCTTTTGATAGAATTACAATAAGTAATCACATATAGGAAAAGGTATATTGAAACAGTCAAAACCCTATTTAAATGTTGATATAAGTAGATACAAGTTATCAAAGATGAACTGATTTGATAAATTTATACTTGCATAAAACTTGCACCAAATTATCACACATCTGCTACCTAAGATACATGTAATATATAATGATATGTTACACAATGGATCTGGGCTATGAAATAAGTATAAATTTTCTTAAGTTTTATTTTTAAAAGGTTCATATATGTGTACAATGTATCTTTATCTGAATCATATCCATCCATATTACCTCCTTCCAACTCCCCCAAAGTTTCCTCTAATACATGTCCCTTCTAAATCCATGTTCTCTTTTTAGTAACCTAATGAGTCCAATTAGTGCTGCCTATGTGTACATGAGTGTTGGGTTATCCACTGGGACATGGGAAAGCTACAAGTAGCCACCCCAGTGGCTATCTATTTTAAATAACTGCTCAACTGGAGATCATATCTGAGAAGTTCCTCTTCTCTCCATGTTGCAATTTTTAGCTAGTTTGATCTTGCTCTTGGTTGCTCAACATAGCAAGATAGATAAGACCTATAAGCAGGAGCAAGCTAGAATCTCACATCAGACACAAAACAAATGCAATAAGTACACAAGCTCAGACAAAAGTCAACACAATGGCAGTATCCTTCCACAACTACTACTCCTATGGAAGAGGTCTTGAATGAAAATTACCCATAAGAATCTTAGGGCATGGGATTTAAAAGAACAATTATAAAAATGATCAAAGAATACAAGAGTTTACAGAGATCAAAATAAGCACATGAAAGAATTTAAAGAAGAGAAGAGTAAGTTCCTAATTAAAATCTAAGAAAACACACTGAAAAAATTAATGATAAAGACAATTTAGGATTTGAAAGATAAATTTAGCAAAGAGAAATATGAAAAATAACTCAACTTGAAATTGAGATGGAATTGAAACAACACCACAGTTAGAAAACTTGGGAGGATATCTTACAAGTAGAATGGATTGAATAAAAGAATATTAAAATTGAACACAAAAAAGATCAATTTGACCACTCAGTAAAGATAAAACTACACACACACACACACACACACACACACACACACACACACACACACACACCACAAGGAAAATGCAGGAACATTAGGACACAATGAAAAGCCCAAATCTACAAATTACAGTCATAGAAGGAGAAAGATACCTGGTCAATAGCATAGAATAGATCTTCAATAGGTTCAATAGGAACCTATTGTTTTCTTCTATTAAGAAGAAAACTTCCCCAAAATTAAAGAATATGGATACAAGAAGCTTATGGACTGCTAAGAAAGAACAGAGGAGAAACTCCTCATGCCATAAAGTAGTTTAAACACTAAATATTCAGTTCAAAGAAAGAGTATTAAAAGCTACAAGAGAGAATCTACAAATCCTACATAAAGGTAAACCCATCAGAATAACATCTGTCTTCTCACTGGAAACTTTAAAAGCCAGAACAGCACATACTCCAAGTTCTAAAAAAAAAAAAAAAAAAAAAAAAAAACACAGATTTTAACCTAAAGTTCTTTGTCTACCAAAACTATTTGCCATAGATATAGGAAGAAAAAATAAAATTAACATTGTAATATTAAAAAAGCTAAAAGAATTTGTGTCCATCAAACTAGTCCAACAGAGAATATAAGAAGTAATACTTTGAACTGAAATGAGGATAAGCATGCCCACAAAGCTACAATATGAAAACAAATGAGGATATAATTACTGGAGTGTAAAATAGGACTAATAATACAAACAGAAAAAAGGTTAGAAATCCATAAAAACATTGCAATAATAACTTTAAATATTAATGCTCTAATTGCCAAATCACAAGAAATAGCTAAATATAATAGATTAAGAAGAAAGAGGAAGAAAAAAAACTTCATTTTGTTGTGTTCAAGAAACTCATTGTACCTTCAAGGATAGGCATTAACTTAGAAGGAAAGGCTGGGAATAATGTATTCAAAAAAATGGGACCTCTGAACATGCATGTGTCCCAATACTATCTGACAAAGTAGAATCCAACCCAAAACTGCTCAGAAGAGATAAATAAATTTCACTCAGATTAAGAAAACAATTGACCAAGAACATAATTCAATAGTGAACATGTATGCACCAAACTTTGGTATACCCAACTGCATAAAAGCGAGACTGTGTCTCCTAGTAATGTCATAAGCTACACCCCAAAAAAATCTCACCAGCCTGACTGTTAAACATGAATTAAACAAGGATGATATAAATAGACATCCAAAAATGGGCAGGGAAAAATGCAGGAGACTGTAGCTAGAGTTTTTCTCTCCGGGTCCCACCAAGCCCCAGCAGTCCCGTAGCTCACTTATAAAATAAACATACAGACTCTTATATTATTTAAACTGCTTGGCCATTAGCTCAGGCTACCATTGTATAGCTCTTATTCTTATACTCAGCCCATTTCTGTTGATCTATATGTCACCACGTGTTCCATGGCTTTACCTGCTGCTTTACATGATGCTCTCTGGACGACAGGCTGGCGTCTCCTCCTCTCCACCTTCCTGTTCTTTCAATTCTCCTCTCTGCTAGTCCTGCCTATACTTCCTACCTGGCTACTGGCCAATCAGTGTTTTATCAACCAATCATCCACAGCAGGGGACCTTAACTCTACATATACAACTGGCATGCAACTAAGAATTCAGAGAGTAGAAAAAATAATTTTCTACAAGGAAGAGCACACTGATTGGTTATCCAACACTAAATAGTCAGCACTAAAACATATTCATACAAGTAACATTACAAAGACTGAGCAGGCTATATTTAGGAATATATATATGTATGTGTATATATATATATACATATATATATATATATGAAAATACAATTAATGAAAAGAGAGGCCATGCATTTGAAAAAGAGCAAGAAGGGGTATATGAGAGGTTTGCGATGAAGGAAAGGGAAGGGAGAAATGATCAAAGTACATGTTAATATCAAAAAAGAAATAAATTAAAATAGCACACATAAAACTGAACTTCAGTACACCACCTAACCTCAACTCAGTAATAGTAGGTAATTTCAACATCCCCATTTTCTGATAGTGATGTCATAAAGACAAAAATTCCACCAAAATGCTGAAGAATACATATTCTATTCAGTTGTTCATGGGAGTTTCTGTAAAATGGACCACACACTGGGACATAAAACAAAAATGACAAATACAGAAAAATTAAAATAGCTCTATATGACCTATCTGATAAGAATGCAATAAAATTCGAAGTCAATAAATAGCAAAAAGATCTCTACCAAAAAATGCACCAAGTCATGGAGCTTAAACAATGAACTACTGGATTAAGAGTGTAGCTAAGAAGAAATCAAGAAGACAAATTAAAAACTTCCAGGAACTAAATAAAAACAAAAATACAATATATTAAATGCTCTTGAACCTATTTTGAGATTAATCCTAAGAGGAAATAAGTCACTAATGAGAAAAGAAACTGACCCATG